GAAATGGTATTGAAATCGCTTCTTAAGCGGAGTTATCATCACTTCAATGGGCAGAAGAAGGTCTGAATCAGGTGTTTGTGACAATCGTTTGCATTGCATATCAATTGTGATTAAAGCGTTGAAATACGCGACAAATGAAGTGATAGTCTCGGCGTTTGAATGGCTCTTATGGTCAGTGATATTGTGAGCACTAATTGTCGGCCAATCGATGCCTTCAAAAGTGAGGCTTAACTTGTGTTTCAAAGCATTGATTATAATTGGTTTCCAATGGACTATAATGTGCCACAAATAGTCTCCCATTATCTCATTGCCGTGTATTTCATGGAAATCTTTGTACTCATTGACCAGTTCTGTGAACCACTCACTGATGGCAACCACTTTGGTCTCGAAGTCCTTACTATTCTTACTGTTAACCACATGTGTCTCTAAGTTCTTGTGGATTGTCTTGATTGTGGCCAAATGTGTCAACAGCTGATCCAATTTGACTAAACTCTCGAAAGTGTGCAGAAGTGGCCAAACGTTATGCAAAATCTCTTCAATTTCTGTGAACTCTTCGTTCAGATCAATGGCACAGCTCTTCAGCCGTCGGATACACTCTTTCATCGATAATGCCTTCAATTCATAGCTTTTAATCTTTTCATTCAATTCACTGTTAGACTGATTGTCACATACACTCAAAGTGAGACTCAATTTATTTAATTTGGAGACTAATCGCTCGTATTTCACACTATTTGCCGACATTTGTATCGATATAACGGTAGACACTATCGCACCACTCATTCACCCATTCATTCACTCAGTGTTTAGTGAATTGTCAGCAAAATAGTGATGACATGTGTTTGCATTGCATTTGCAAACATCAACACAATTTCTACGCAAACCTAACCTAACCTCACATACAAACTGTGTGTCTATTTGTCAGTTTATATAGCCTTTCACAGTCACCAATAGCACCGGTATGCGTGAAAATGGCGTCAATGCCACCATAGCTCAGTGGTTAGAGCACTGGTCTCGTAAACCAGGGGTCGTGAGTTCGAACCTCACTGGTGGCTATCATTTTTGGATACACTTTTACCACCAGTTATCTCACTTTTACCACCAGTTATCTCATATGACATCTCTGTCATAGTGTGCGTCCACTTCTGTGTCTGTCAATTGCATTAATCCTGAAAAGTGTTGAAAGCAAAGCAAATAGCGATTACTTGATTTAGTGCTAAACTTATGGTCACATGACATGCATTATATACCTCTACATTGAATGAAACATTACTTTCTGTTTTGATTGCATTTCAATGTTTATACATTCCTCACAATATGTCATCACTTTTGTTATCAATGTCTATAAATGTATTGCGAGAATAGCTCGCTGTGTGTTTGGATCAGTTGACGACATGTCTGACATTTATGGTATAGTCGAGTACTTTGGCTCCAATGATGAGTCACATCCGTGTGGTTATTGTAAGACAATGAAAGACGGGAACACCGATTATGGTAAGTGTCGGTTCGGTAAGTATGGACACGGATTGCACACAAACCATACACTGATTTGGTGTGCTTTGATGGACAGGGATGTGGGCCCACAGACTCTCTAACATGAATTACCAGAACCTTATTGATCGCAATTGGAGAAGAAGTGGTAAATACTGTTATAAACCGGTTCTGGAGCGGACCTGTTGTCCGATGTAC